GACATGCATGCATCAATTCATCATTTTTTAGTTTGGTTATCAAAATTTTTACATGCATGAGGTTCATACTTGTTATTTTTAAGGGTTCTTTATGAATTTACACTCAATATTTCATATGTAAACATTGTGAAAGAAAAGAGTTGAATTCTTTGCATTCACGGTTGGATTATGAAGTTTTGAGCTTGATTTTGGGGAATTGACAATGATTTGAGCAAATGGTTACAAATTGGTTATGTTTATATGTTTTCCAAAGAGTTTCCATACATTTGGTCCAGCCATGCAAGCTTTTGAACTTTGAACTTGTGTTTTGGAACTTAAATTATGTTTTGGAAAACCCAGCATTCGACCTCATCACTGAAGCGATGAAGTCGTCACTCGAGCGCACATAGCGAGCATCCAGTAGTTTTGCAGAGTCTTGCATACCGGTCGAGCGACCAAATGTCCATTCGAGCAACCTCAGCGTTTAATACACTTGGATCGAGCAACCATCGAGCATAGATTTCGAACATCCACTACTTTTACAAACCAACCAAACCGCTCGAGCCACCAAAGGACAGCTCAAGCGAACACTCTGTTTTTAGCAACTTTCAAAATACACTTTCATGTGCATATTTTCACTTCCATGTTCTTTTGAGCATTCTTAGGCATTGTAAAGGCTTCATTAAGAAAGTAATAAGTTAGAAAACCATCTAAAGATTATAATCGAATTGAATTGAATTGGAATTGTATTAGATCAAAGATGTTTGTTTGTAGATGTTACATGGTATTTTTGTTATGTGTTTTGTGTAGGTTGGACACTGGAAGTCTAGCGTTTGTTCAAGCCCACTGTAAGTAATATCTCTACAAAGATATGTTCAGATGTATTTTGAAATTGTTTAATAGAGAAGTTTATGAAATCTTATTTTGTATCTATGAATGAATGCCCTTTTTGAAAATGTATTTGTGACATCCTTTAGTGAAGCCCTTGCATTGGGGACATAATACCATGGCCCATGAATTAATTGAAACACAGAGATTTCTGATGTTAAGGCCCTAGTGGTCCACATTGAATTACCCATTGTGGTTTTATTAATTGTCCACATTGAATTACTCATTGTGGTTTTATTGAATGACCCGTTGTGGTCCCATTGAATTGACCTTAATAGTCCTATTGGCTTTGGCATATTGATTTATTGTTACTCTATTGGATGTTACCACATATAATGAATTGCATTGGATATTGTTAAAATAGATGATTGATATGAATTTGATATATGATTGTTTATACGAATTGTTTTGGATATTGAAAAGATATGTTTTATGAAATGTTGGACTTCACTCATTAAATCCTTTATATTGACGTTACTCAGTGAGCTCTAGCTCACTCCTCTCCCTTATATATATGTAGGTGAGCATGTGGATCGACAAGCTTAGAGTTGCTTTGGGAGTCCACCCTTTGAGAAGCTGAACAAGAAGTGCCTCCGTGATGGGGCATAGCTTGGTCTCCAGCAGAGACAAGCTTTTGTCAACCTTTTGTTTGGTCTTTTGTTTTGTTACTTGATGAACATGTATTATGTATGTTATGGAAGTCGAAGTTCAAGTTTGTTGTAAATATTATTATGAATGATGAATGAAGTTTAAGTTATTTATGAAATTTGTCATGTAAGCACCACTCAATGGACTCATTTGGTCCTTTGAGACTAGTTCTACTGTAGGCTGGGCCACCACCGGAGGTTCTGTTAGAGGGTTTTGCCCCTTGCCTTGAGGCATTTGTGCCATTGGTTGTACAGGTTGTCGTTGTGTTGGGGGCATAGCCATTTGACCAACTGATGGCCCCAAAAGAGAAGCCACTGGAACTGGTTCCACTCCATGTGGCTCTACTTGGTTATTCCTTCCAAAAAAGACATGTGTTGGTCTTGGTAGATCACTCAACCCCTCATGTGCAGGTTCAAAGATTTGGCTGGTGACCATTCTAGTCACATTTCCTTGTATATTTCCTGGAACACCACAAGTATATATTCCCATGGATTATAAACGGGATCAAGTGTAGTGAATCTCTTATCCCTTTCCGTTTCTAGCCCAGTCGCACTGCCGCCATCACAAGATCAGAGAGAAAAAAACAAAAGGTTTAAATTGTGTTTGGTGTGAAGTGAGACAATGGTGTGTACTTGCGCTATGTTTGACTGGAGGATTTGGGGAGAGATTTAAAAAGGGAAAGGGAAAAAGCGTGTGAAACTAGGTGAAATATAAGTATATTTTATTCACATTTCACCTACCTTTTTCATTTCCCTTTCCAAATCTCTCCTCAAATCCCCCAACCAAACTCAGTATTAGAGAATTTGTGGTGTGCATTTAGAAGCTTCCCAAATCTAACCATCCTCATTCTATATTTCAGAAGTGAAAACCATGAAGAACAAACCAATAACCAATAAAATGCCAGCAAGTATCTACAAAGCTACAAATCCTTTTGGCAAGAGGCATATTGAAGAACACCAAGTAGACTTTTCCTTCTATACCAAACTAAGCAGACGGGAACTAGTACAGTACACATTTGCTAGCATTTGAGTAAAATTTTGAATAAAAACTTAATTTGATAAGAAACAATCTAATAAATAACCTCAGATTTAAGCATAAATTTAAGTAAAAAGCTCGATTAACCACATATATATACATATAATACTATATGCAACAATTGGCATATCAATTAGGCCATGTTTGTTTGGGCGGGCTGAATTAGGTTGGATTAGCATTCCCATGACTAATAGTCCTAAGACTACGAATCTATTTGGATTGTGTATCATATCTTATGTTTGGATTAACTTAGGATTATAAGGAGGAATAGAATATTGGCCTTGTTTGGCAAAGGCTATTTTTTGCTTTTTGGGCTAAAATACACAAAAAAACAAAATAGGCTAAAATAGCCAATAAGACAAAATGTCACATCAAACCCATAATCATTTCGCTTTTTCTCTCACAAACATCACATCCAACTACAAATAAATCTAGCCATCTTCCCAAACACAAATATTTTCACCTACTAAAATAACAAATTCCCAAACACCCACATTATCCAATCCGATGTTTGTTTAAGAGGATTGGAATGGATAAGACATGACAGGATATGGGAAATCCAATATATTGACCATAATACCCTATTATAATTATTGTAAAACTTTGCACTAGCATGTGTTATAATTTTTAAAAAGCAAATTTCCCTATTATTGCTCCACATCCATTTGATTTATTTGAACAAAATTTAACCCAACTTTTTTTAATAGAAAAAATCAAAAATCATTCACCTATAAAATTTATATATACATAAGCAACCATTAAAAAAATACACTGCTATTTTAATCATCTAACCATTCATTGCCCAAATTCAAAAAAAGTATTTATTTGAACAAAATTTAACCCCCACTTTTTTTTAATAGAAAAAATCAAAAATCATTCAACTATAAAATTTATATATACACAAGCAACCATTAAAAAATATGCACTGCTATTTTAATCATTCATTGCCCAAGTTCAAAAAAGTATTCATTTGATCAAAATGTAACCCCTTTTTTTTAATAGAAAACATCAAAAATCATTTAACTATAAAATTTATATACACAAGCAACCGTTAAAAAATATGCACTACTATTTTAATCATCCAACTATTCGCTGCCCAAATTCAAAAAGACATTTATTTAAACAAAATTTAACTCTTTTTTTTTCAAACAAAAAAATATCAAAAATAATTCAACTATGAAATATAACTATTTAGAAAAATAATGATATCAGAAAATATAGAAAGCGGAGAAAATATATTTATGAGAAGATACATACAAATTACCAATTGTAGACATGTTGAATTAAAAGTCTATCGTGGCCATTAATGATTACTACCATTCATAATTGTTATAAATAATAATATTATTGTTCTTAGATCATCTCCAGCAAAGAATATGTCAATATCATGTTCTTAGTTGCATTTTGAAATTGTTTTGGGTTTTTATTTTAAATATTTAAAAATTTTCTTAATTTTTTAAAATATTTACAAATTAAAACATATTTTATTGAAATTTTTTTTAAATATTTCAAATATTTAAATGAGGTAAAAAACGAAATCTATTAGTTATGATTTCCCAAGACAACAATAGCACAAGAGAGAAGGTAGAAACGAAGCTCTGCCAAAATCAAACTTCTTCAAATATATATATATATAGTGGGGGTTAATTTGATCAATTTGATAAGTTAGTCCACACTTTGGCTTAATCTCCCAATTTATATCCTACCCCCTCTATGGGATTGAATAGTTCATCGTATGTGGGACACCATGGCCCTGTTTGGTAAGGTTTATTTCCAGCTTATTTCCAGCTTATTTTAGCTTTTAGCTTAATTTAAGCTATTTTGATGTGTTTAGTTCAGCTTAACAATACAGCTTATAGCTTTTTGTAAGTCAAAAATCAACTTATTCTTTGAGTGGGGGAGAAGAAACTTAATTAATAAGTCAAAAATCAGCTTATGTTCACAGTTATAGGCTATAAGCTGTTAGGCTATAAGTTATAATCACTTTCCCACAACTCTACCAAACGGGGCCCATATCTGGATAGATTATTAGTATGTGGGACACCATATCTCGATAGATTATTAGTCTGTACTTCAATTTTTAAACCAAACATCAGATTAATAATTTTATTGAAATATTAGTGCAATCCCAAGCAAATGTCCGCCCAAACAAACATTGTATTAGTGTATTAACGGATGATGTAGCATGATTTGAGAGGTTTTGAGTTTTTGTAATGGGTAGGATCATAGTTTTAAAATGACAATGTCTTAACTATGTTGGTACACTATAGCAATTGGTGTGTGGAGCACCACTGTATATATATCGAGACCTAAACGTACACAAATACCAATACATATTAAATATTCACAATTATTCGTAACCCAGAGAGCCTAATCTAATTCAATGAAATTCAACACTTGAAAAAGGATCAATTATTGAACTGAACTTTAATTGGAGGAATAAAACTCACACTTAATCTCGCACGGGCCACAATCAGATGAGGGGGGTTTCAGAATAAGAGGAGGTCTTCTCTTGGAATAAAGGGTTTCGGAGTCGATTGGAGAGTCCGAAGTCTCGAAGGCGACGGAAGTGTCGAGAGAGCCACCAACGACAGTCCAGTCTGTTGCGGAGCTCCATGAAAAGTTTTTGCTCTTGTTGTCATTGTTGTTGTTGTAGTTTCCATCGTCGTAGTTGCCATTGCCGTCGCCCTGTACTACTTCCATTGCTTTTGCTTTCTCTATTTTTGTTCTCACTTCTTCTCACCTCTCTCTCTCTCTCTCTCTCTCTCTAACATTGATCAGAATTTCTCATTGAAGGGTCTGTTTGGAACTTCATTGTTTTACTTGGGGTAAATTACACTTATAGGTTTAATTTATATCACCATTGACCTTTAGGTAATTACACTAATTTTTTTGCCATTATAATTATTTAAATAGAATAAAAATATTAAATTTATACATTCTCTTTTTTCTTATTTTCCTTTACTTTCTCTATTTTTTTTCTGTTCTTTACATTTTTTTTTTTGCAATGTAATTTCTTTTATTTTTTATGAAGATTTGTTACCTTTTATATAAAGAGAGCATTGTAAAATGAAATTATTAACCACAAAGATGGGAATATAATTTCCAAAACGTAAAAGGTGAAATGTAATTGAACCAAACCTCATAAGGTGTCAGTGTAATTTACCCTTTTAATTGATTTTTTTTTTTAGTTGTTTTATAACATAAAAAATTATTATTTAAAATAATTTATAAAAAAAAAAGTATACTTGAATAGATGATTATGAAAGAAAAAATTATTAATTAATGGGTAAAATTTGATATTTTATTTTATTTATCATTATACTATTTTTTATTTTTATTGACAATTTTAATCCAAAAAAAAATGCCAAACACTGCCTTTATTTGATTTTTAAATAGGAAAGTTACAAACTCGTTGCCAAATTATAGTAAGCTCAATTTAAATGAGTGGTGTTATTAACACTCATCTATTATTTTCGATCTTTTATTTTTTTGGACCCCCACTTATAAATTTTGAAACTTATAAAATTTATTTTCTCCCCCCAAATAATACCAAAATTATCCTTGTGAAAATATTTCACCCATTCAATTGAATGCACACCCCTCACACCCTAAAAAAACTTCTCTTTTAAAAACTCTAACAAAACCCACAAAGAAGAAAAAGAAGAGTTAAGTGTGATTACTGCCCCTCTCTCTCTCTCTCTCTCTCTCTCTTAGCTCATCCTTTTCTTCGGTGCTTAATATTCAGTTAACGGTTTCCAAACAAATAATAAATGTTCGATTACCAGTTTCCGAACAAATAAACAATGTTCGGGCCTGAGTTTCCGAATTTTGGTCATATGTTTCGGAATTCAGTCCCGAAAAAATAACAAACAGATTTTATTATTTTTGCCTTTTTTTTTAAGAAACTTACTCTTGCAAGGTCAATCTCCTCTAAGCTAAGAACACCATTAAAATTATGAGCTTTCTCTAAACTTTTATTGTTATACTCCTCTCGTCTTATGGAGTTGTGGTTACCGAAAAAACTTCCGCTCATTATCATTGTCGGAGAAGTGTAGATAATCAAATGGTTGCTACGGTTATCGCCAGAATATTGCAGCCAAAGGGTTTTTAAGGTTTTGAGGGTGAGTAAGTTTTGAATGTGAGATTTGGGGAAGATGGATGGGTGGTGATGGAGGTGGGTACTCTCATAAATCTTAATTCATGATATAGTGGTGTGTGGGTTTAATTGTGAGATGGTGTGTCCCAAAATTAATGATGTCCTTTTTAGTAATTTTATTTGAGGTTATTATTGTAATAAAAAAAAAGCTAAAAATTGAGGGGTTCAAAATAATTCACAGGGTGCTAATAGCATTCTACTTACACCACTACTTTACCTTTTTACACCCTCCATATGAGTTTTTTTTTCCCTAATTTTATCCATGCGTGAAATTACCTTTAAGGACCAAACACTAAAATTAAATATATTTTGTTATCTCCTTACACCCCTTGGTCTTCAATCCCTACTCCTCTTTTTCCTTTCTTAATTGTTTTTTTCTCTTACACATCTCTTTTCAAAAAGTGAAAATCATAGTATTTTGATCATTAAAGAAAGCAATGGATGAAGAAACGGTGGTGAAGAACCATATAAAAAAGTGAAATTGTGAGTTTTTTTATTTATTTGGTAGGTTTTTATTTCGTTTTTTCTGGACTGGTGTTCAACTTTCGTTCGATGGTTCGAAATCGAACAAAATAAAATAGTCCGGCATCACATTGCTGAACAAAAAATATAAGTCTGGTAACTGACTACCGAATAAAAGACACATTTCTGGTAACCCCAAACCGAATTTGTTTAATTTGTTCGGCTTCTCATTACTATGTATTTTCAATTTCATTTTTTTAATTTGTCTGGTAACATGGCACTAGAGTAATTCAAATTAATTAGTGTTGTATTACTGAACAAGCCCACTGCAAATTAAAAAATCAATGTTTGGAAGAAAGTGTCTCTGTAAATGTACAGCAACAAAATGCTGGAGAGATCTATTTTTTCTAGCAACCTAATACCGGACTACATTGACGTGATTAGGGACATGTATGAAGGGGTGGTGACCACTATTAGATCGCCAGCTGGAGAGGCAAATGAATTTCCTATCACTGTAGGGTTACACCGAGGATCTACCTTAAGTCATTATCTTTTTGCTTTAGTTATGGACGAGTTGACAATAAATATTCAGGATGGCGTGCCATGGTGTATGCTTTTTACAGACGATATTGTGTTAATGGATGAGACTAGAGAAGGAGTTAACACAAAGTTGGAGATTTGGAGAAAAGCTCTTGAATCTCAAGGATTTCGGATAAACAGAACTAAGACAGAGTACATGGAGTGTAAATTTAGTAATAGTAACAATGAAAGCAGAGGAGAAGTGAAGATTGAGAACCAAGAACTGCCTAAGAGTGAACATTTTCGTTATTTAGGGTTGATTATCACAACAGCATGAGAGATTAATGCAGATGTGGCCCATAGGATTAAGGCGGGATAGTGTAAGTGGAGAAGTGCGTCAGGGGTATTGTGCGATAAACGAATACCCACTAGACTAAAAGGTAAGTTTTATAGAACGGCTATTAGACCATCTGTGTTGTATGGGACGAAGTGTTGGGCTACCAAGAAACAACATGTGGATAAGATGAGTGTGGCTGAGATGAGGATGCTAAGGTGGATGTGTGGTAAGACTAGACAGGACAGGATTAGGAATGAGTGTATTCGGGAATGGGTAGGAGTAGCACCGATAGAAGATAAGTTGAGAGAGAATAGTTTGAGATGGTTTGGTCATATTCAACGGAGACCAACAGAGGCAGTAGTGAAGAGAAGCGATGCTGTAACAGTAGATGGAAGTGTTAGGGGACGAGGTAGGCCTAGATTAACGTTGACTAGCGTTATAAATAGATATATGAATCTACTTAATTTGACTAATGAAATGGCCTTTGATAGGGCTGCGTGGAGAAGAATGATTCATGTAGCCGACCCCATTTGATGGGACTTAAGGCTTGGTTTGGTTTGGTTTGGTAACCTAACACCGGACTAATGTAAATTGTTTAGCACCATGTTACCAAAATTAGTGGTGTAAAGAGATGAAATAGTTAATTTAGGGTTAGTTTTGGTAATATATTGGGGGTGTAATGAGAATTACATTTTTTTTAGTGGTGTATGAGATGGAGGGTGCAAAGAGGTTAACTAATTGTGTAAGTAGAATCACCACATTTAAATTTATAAATTTTAATTCTTATTATATCCTAATGTGAATTTACTAATAAGGACAACCCATATTAAACCCTAAAATAATTTTTTTTTTGTTTTCATGGTACACCCTAATCTATTATTCCTATTCAAATCTCTGTATCTTCTTCCTTAAGAGATCAAAGTTAGTTTGTCTTCTTCTTCTTCTTTTTTCTCACTTTAAAACTCCAATCCACCTTACCAAAACTCACCATTCTCATTAACATCATTGTTTTTTATTATTTTGAAACTCTAAACCCTAAAAAAAAGTTTGAACAATCAAACAATGGACGAAAGTGATAATCACGATAATATTTTGAAGCAACCCATCAAAGATGAGGTAAGGATTCATGTAAAAATCAAAATATAATTATTAATTTCTATATTTTTTCGCATGTCCCATTACGATGTTAAATCTTTCAATTTTTACAATTGTATAAATAGCATTACAGCTTCTCTAAGTCGCAACAGATGCATTCAATTTCAATATGAAAACCAAACAGCCTAGGTTGGTATTTCGATCAAATATATAATAGGAGATTCTATATGCTGCGGCACCTTTTAATAATTTTTATTTATTTTTTATTTTTTTCTGTCCTGTTACTCTTTTTTTTTCTGAGATAATTTTTTGCTACAACACATTTCCATATGTTGCCAACCTTTTGGATTTCAATGGTTAAGGTTAAAAAAAAATTTACATCTATTTTCTCATAATTTCCATTGAGACTAAGTTTATCTATCAATTTTTGTTGCATTCAAATTTATATATTAGTTTGTAATTATTATTTTAATATTTGGTTTCATTTTATCAATTTTTTTTATTTTTTATTTTTTACATAAAAGTGAATATTCAACTTATTTTTGGTCATTATTATTTGGTTATGAAAGTCCAAACAAATACAATTTGTTCAATTGTACACTGCCGAACAACATGACAATGTTCAGCTTTGTATATCCAAACATTGTGACTTTATTCATCTTTGTATGTCCGAACAATATGAGTAAAATATGACTTTTTTTCCTTTTTTTGACCTTGTATGTCCAAACAATATAACTTTGTTCCTTTGTTGGTTTCATATAGAATTCCATTTTGAAGAATGTAGAGCATGCTGAATGCGTGTTAAACTACACTAGTGAATTTACCACATATGAGGTAGGATTACTATTTCCAATTACTTCTTTTATCAATCTTTATATTTATATTTGTACTAACTATAAGCTAATATGTTTAATGTAGATATTTAAAAGCAGAGAAACAATGATTGATTGGGCACGTGATGTTGGCAAGAAAAATGGTTTTGTTATAATTGTGAAATATTCAGATTCTGGTGGCGGTCGTTGGACACCAAGAATTAAACTAGTGTGTAAGAGGAGTGGAAAGTATAGACAAAAAAATAAGGTGAAAGTTTATTCTCATGATGAGAATGCTAGGATGACCGGGACCAAAAAGTGTGATTGTCCATTCTTGCTAAAGGGTAAAAAGTTAAGCACTAACAACGATTGGATGTTGCATGTAGTATTTGGAGTGCATAATCATCCAGCTACGGATCATCTTAAGGGGCATTCATATTTGGGGAGATTATCACACCAAGAATATGAATTGTTGGTGGATATGTCTAAGAGTATGTTGAGACCAAAAGATATTTTAGTTACTTTGAAACAGAGGAATCCGTTGAATATAACGACAATGAAGACAATTTATAATGTGCGTCACAGATTTAAAGTAAAAGAGAAGGCCAGAAGATCACAGATGCAACAACTGTTGGGGAAGTTAGCAGAGCATGAATAAATTGAATGGCATATATGTGAACAAAATACCATGGTTGTCACTGATCTCCTTTAGGCTCATCCATTCAATTTGGATTTGTTTCGTGCATTTCCACGTGTCTTGATTATGGACTGTACGTATAAGACCAATAGGTATGGTCTTCTCTTGCTTGAGATTGTAGGTGTGACTTCCACAGATATGACATTTTTAATAGCTTTAGCATATTTACAGTTTGAGCGTACCGATAACTATGTATGGGCTTTGAATATATTACGTAGTCTCATGGATGAGAATATTTTTCCTAAGGTTATTGTCACAGATAGAGAGTTTGCATTGATGAATGCCATTGATGTGGTATTTTCTAGTTCCAAACACTTGTTGTGTCGATGCCATATAAATGAGAATGTGTTGACTAAGTGTAAGAAGATGTTTAAGAGTAAAGACATGAAGTTTAACGCTTCATGGAATTTGTTAATCTTCTCTTCTTCTGAAGATGAATACCATGAACACCTTAGCACACTACACAAAGAGTTTAGTGCATATCCAAAGGCACTTGATTATGTTACTCAGACATGGTTGAAGCAATACAAGGAGAAATTTGTTGCATCGTGGACAAATTCATTCATGCACTACGGGAATGCTACAACGAATAGGTAAATAATTTAGCAATTACGTAAACTCAATTTGTACTTATTTGTATATGAACTTGATGATTTTTAAAACTTTTATTTGATTAGGGTTGAGAGTGCACATTCATCACTGAAGAAACAACTTGAATCTAGTCAAGGGAGTTTTGAAACTTGTTAGAGTAAGATACATAATTTGCTTGAGTTACAACACACTGCCATCAAGGCTTCATTCTAGAAGAGTTTGACAGTTGTCCAACACAATTTTACTCCTTCTAAATTTGTCCAGCTTCGGGGTAATGCATCCATATGTGCTTTGGAACATATATTAGCAGAGACGAAGAGAGCAAAATCCATTGGAATTGATTCTTCAGCATGTGGTTGTGTCATTCGAAATACCCATGGTTTGCTTTGTGCACATGAGATTGCTTATTACATCAAAAATTACTTCCTATTCCACTTGAGACAATACATGCACATTGAAGGACACTTGATATTGTCAAATTGCCTAACAAAGATAAATTGGAGTTAACTTGTATTCTAGAAATAGAGTTGGTTATTAAGAAGTTTTTATCTAACTAGTGTGAGACTTGAGATTTTGAAGAAATTAAGAGAGATTGTGAGTTCGGATAGCACATTTCTCACTGAACCAAAGTTAAAGCCTAATCCAAGACCTCGTGGTCATCGAAAGGTTAATGTATCCACTCGACGTAACCCATGTCCTTTTGAATTGGTTGAATCTAGACATGGTAGTGCCTCCACACAATCATATTCACAGAAAAGGTACACAAGATTCTATCAATGGACAAAAAAAAAAAAAAAAAAAAAAAAAAAAAAAAAAAAGAAGAAGAAGAACTCAATTCAAATGCAGAGGAACCAAAATGATAATTTAAATTATTATTATTTTTTTTAATATCAGTTTCTGCTGCCAAAAAAAAAACTCTTACCCATTATTAAAATTCTTAGAATTGAACATGCATTCCCACAGTGTATAAGGCCATACATTAAGCATGTGAAGGATGTAAGTCCTGATGGACATTGTGGATTTAGATAGATAGTTGTAACGCCCATACATTCACGATAAATAAAAGAGTTCTCATATTATAATCATCAGAATATTCTTACAAAAGGTATTACGTGTTGACAATAAAAGTAAACGCCCTATAGGCTTACAACTTTCCAAGTCAACACTTGGTTACAAAAGAGAGTACTAACTCTACACAAATAAGCCCTTGGCTTGGTATACATGTAATACAACAAAACAACATAAAAAGAGTCTACGGCCTCAAGCCTCCCAAGCTATTTCCTTGGAGGTGGCATAACGCCTATACCTAAAAATGATGTCCCATATAGGGTGAGCCAATGCCCAGTAGAGATATGCTAAACATATTATAGACAATAACTAAAACATTAGCACTTGATAAATGTTTAACTTAACAAAACTCAACTTATAAACATGGCTCAGAACCTGGCCAAATAACTGAAGTAAAACTATATCTCATGCCAACAATACTACAAACTGCCATTTTACGAAAATTGCATCCGCGGGATCTGGCACCCATGTATTTTCATTCTCTTATGGCCATTTTACAGATATTTCATCTGCGGGACTCGACACCCATGTATAGATATATTCGAATTGCCATTTTACGGAAATTGCGTCCGCGGGATTTGGCACCCATGTATAATTGTATTCAAATGGCCATTTTACGGAAATTTCATCCGTAGGATTCGGCACCCATGTATTCAAATACACAACTTGATTAGTTTCAATTCAACTAATCATATGCAATGTCTATAACAATCAAGACTATCCTCCACCGATAGCCCAAAGTAGTTATTTCTAAACAGATAATAAATGCCTCAACAAATATATAATTGACATTTTCAAAAGTGAGCGATTTATAAATCCAACTCCACCATTCTATCTCATAATGAACAAGTTTCATTATCCCCAACTCAATTTCATAACAAATGTCATTAATTACACTAATGACCCAAATATACCCAAATATGGCATCAGTCAGATGCTAGTGCCCAACTTGATCCCCCCGCATTTGGCAGACATTTGATCCCCCTGATTTCTCTAACACCATTTTTAACTGGAAATCGAATGACTTAGTGAAAGGTAGATGGAGCTGCCGTCAATTTTGTGAAGCCATGTCCTTCCATTATTGCAATGTATAGGAGAAGACATTCACTGCTTGAAACTTCACTTGTTGAGTTTAAGGGTTCAAGTGAATAGTGATTAAGAGAGTGATTAGAGAGGCAAAACTATATTGATGATCTAATAGATCTAGGCTTGTAGGAGAATGAGCAGTTAGGTGAGGTAGAACAAGTGGTTTAAGAAGAAAATAATGGCGGTGCACAAATGGATAGCATCCCCCCAAGTCCCCTAAAATCCTCTCTCTTGGACCTTGGGAAATAAGTCCTATTTATAGGCTTTTCCTTAGCACCAAAGGATACTAAGTGGCCAAATAAAGTGAGGACATATGTTAGACACTCCATTTTTGACCGACCTTAAGACTCAGACATCACCGATTGAGCGCTCGGGTGACGTTGCATATCGTGCTCGTTTAGAAATCTCAGAGTCGCGGCCGTGAGCCCTGCCTCCGGACTTCCGAACCCTCTTTTGTGCCTTGCCTCAGTTTGCGAACCAGACTCGGTTTTCTCTGTTTCTTTTCCCGAGGGGAGGGAGAGGTCCTGTAGACCATCTCTCAGTGGCCGAGGGCTACATTTTGTGGCCGTAGGCCATTTTTCCCATTTCAAAAGCCCGATTTTCGGTTTTTCGGGACCGTTGGCCGTGTGCCTCGGTTCGGGACCGCTTACCATCTCCGTTTGCTCTTAAATTTTGGCATACATCTTATTTTCTCCCTTTCAAGGGACACTGGTGTCAGAGAAACCCACTTCGTGGCCGAACGCACTTTTGGTGCTTGGTAGCCCATTTTCGGGACCCCGAACTGCGTGTTTTGGCCCCCGAGCATTCGTTTTGCATTGCTTTTCGTTCATTTTTGGCAGGTGCCTCTGTTTTATCACCAGGAAGGTCACTGGAGGGTGGGAGGCCAGCAATTATCTTGGCAACAGTTATATTCCATTTTCGCCCTCCGACGCCCGTTTTTCGCGCTTCGAGCCAATGTTGAACACCTTGGAGCCATTTTCTTCAAACCCAACCACATATTTGTGATGTACACACATGGGAGGACCCTAAAAGTTTATGGCCGGCCACTAATGTTGCTTGACCCTTTTGAACCCCTCCTTCCGAGCCAATGTTGAACACCTTGGAGCCACTTTCTTCAACCACAAAACACATATTGTGATGTAACACATGGGAGGACCCTAAAAGCTTATGCGGCCATTAATTCCATTTGAACCTTTGAACCCCTCCTCAAAATGGCTTGTTCTCTCTCCTGTTTTAGAGTTTCCAAATTCGAACCACAGGGTTGTGAAGAGGAGACCTGGGAGGCCACCAATATGTGGTGGCCGGCCACTAAAGCCACTTGGCCTTTTTGACCCTGGCCGGCCGGCTAGGGGGGGTGGCCAGCCGGCCACATCCAAGTCCAATAATGGGCCGGCCAATGTCCTCTCTCTGCACACTTTACAGCTGTATAGCTGTTTCCCCCAGAAAATATCCCATCCGGGGGATATTTTGTGGGGGAAAAACTTGCCTATTTTTCCCCACCTTTTGCCCCTCCTTTACTCCCCTTTTCTTGTCCATATAACCAGCTGGTGGCATCACATTTAGGGGTTAGAAAAATTGTCTTCAAGCCTCAATAACATATCTCCCTCCATCTCTCTCATTTTCCTAAAAATCCCTAAGTCCTACACCTTGTTTTCTTCATCACCACCAAGCTCTACCACCACCACTCATTTCAAGCAGCAGGGGAGGAATTCCAGCAGCTTAGAGTCATCAAAATTGGTCCAAGAGCAACAAAAGTGTTGATCTTTCAAGGGTGAGTCCATTTCCCTCTTTTTAGCTCATTTCTTGCAACATTTCTTAGCCTCTCTTTCTTGTACATTTGAGCTCCGACCAAAACTGAAAGTACCCTTTTTTTGAGCTCATTTTCATGTCTCATGAAGGGCTCAACCCTGTTTGAGCCCCCATCTTGCACTTGCTTCAATATCCTCTTTGTATTGTCATATATTTTGCATGCTTTTTCTAGCCTATGTGTGATCTATTTTGGAGCATGTTATAAACTGTAAGTAGGCTTATTTTGAGCCCCTCTTCAACATTGAAGAAGGGCTAAACACTGTTTTGAGACTTCCATGTTGCACTTCCTTTATATCCTCTTTTTGGTCCATTTTGTATGCCTTGGCAGCCCCTGATGTTGCTGTTTTTGGACTTTGTCCGAACTAAAATGGCCTTATTTTGACTCCTGAACATGTTTTATTAAGGGT